GTGATTGATATCTGTATACGTCTGGGCTCTCTATCGGCTTATAAAATGCATTTTCAGGTCTCTCTAGAAATAACATCAGATTCTCTGCCTCTTATCGTTTGTATCATTAAATTGATTTCAATAATGCATTTTGAAGTTAAATGTCTTATTCATGACTTTGTGGTTTTTATTTTTTACCTCTTTTTTATGTTTTTAACGTAAATTTTATATGCATTTCAATGAATGAATTGAATTGAATGGTACGCTATAATAATAATTCACTATAACTCTCATGTCGTCCCCTCCCATCCCTTTCTCATAATCAAACAGTTAATTCATTTATGTTTTTTCGTGAAATTTAAATACATTTTCCATTTCCTTATCATACCTTTTATGTATTTATGTTATCATTGAATCGCTTTTTGCCCGAAATTTGAATTTTTTCTCGTTATTAATATTTTGACGAAAAATATTAATTATGTCTTGCTTTTTGTTTATGACTTTAATATTTTGTTTTGTTTGTAATATTTGTTATATTTTGCTATTTTATATTTAATTAAAAGCAAGTGTTCGCAATGCATTGAATGTGTACTCAATTTGATTGCAAACACAATTATAGTTCATTTTTATAACACTAATCATTTCTAATGTCTTGTAAAAAAGGAAAGTTTTATTCAATTACATATCAAAAACTCTTATAATTATTACATAAGTAAATTTTGTTACAAAGCAAAATAAAACTATACTTTTTAAGGCAGTATTCAATTAAGATTACGACTCTTATGTAACATAATATATGGAAATAATATTAAAAAGGTTTAGTTCACTATAAGTCATATGATGTATTGACTTAATTATTATTTTATTTATTTGTATAATATTTTTCCCTTTATTTTTATTATTTTTTGTATCCATTGAATAGTTGAATAATTAATTAATATTTAATTTGAGAATAAAATTTATAGAAACAATTATTTTAGATATTATTTTTTGTGTTGTAATGATTGCCTCAATCCATAGTAATGTCATTGTTTTTTATGCATAACATTATGTGTTTAATACTGTTGTTTCAGTTAATTAAATATAATTTTTATTATTTTATTTTTAAGTTTATGTGTTTTACGAGAGATTTAAATATGTATTTTAATCGCCAAATGAACCGGAATTATAATTTGATTACGAAAAGAGTATTACCTTTTGGTGATTATCATTAAAAACAACTCTATTATCATATGTGATAATACATTAGCAATATTTTTGACTATCTTATGATGAGCTTTAATAGAGAAATAATACTTTAATATACTTATGATTTAATATCACTTTTTCGTTGATTATTACGTTTGGATTTAGATTTTTTCAAACCCATTTATAAACTTCAGTATAATTACTTCAGTTGTAAAGTAAGTGTTTTGCGTTATTCCTGTTATTATCAGATAAGAAATATAATTACAGTATTGACTTGTATTGGGTTTTTATACGTGTCGTGAGTTTGGTAACAAAACTATGATTTATCGAAATTTAATACTTTTTTGTGATGATTGACTTAATGTTATATTACGCACAGTTTATGTATATATTTGCAAGTTTATCGTATTTGCATTTTACCTGTATTTTACACGTATGTGAGTACAGGTATAGCTGTTGCCAATAATTTTGGTTATTATATTCATTAGTCCACACGATTTGCTTGTTATTGACATTCATTTATAAATGCATTTTCTCTTATAATTCTGAAACTATTCATTATTTTCTCATTTAGTGTACGGAAAAATTTATTTATTATGTATTTTTTGTCGTATGAATTCAATTAGTATACTATTTTGCGAAGTAAAATTTTCCCTCAACTTTTTAATTTAGTTTAATTTATAGTTTACTTTTTGTTGTATATTCCCTATTATTGTGAACATAATTAGTGTTCAAGATTTAGTGAATTTTTTGTTTAATTATTAAAATAGTCTACGTACTCATAATGAATAATTTAGGCTAAATTCACAATATAGAGGTTTGTTTGTAGTTTCAGATTTGAATGTTTCGGATGAGTTTTTATACTATAATTTCCTTTCTATTATTAGCCATCAATTCGTCCTAACATTACAGCAAATAAACTACTTATAAATTATAGTTTTTAAGCAACTATTTGTTAAACACATTAAAATGATTGTGTAGTTAATATGTTATCATATGTTTGTTCTCATTATATAATAATTTTTAGAAATTTTTCTCACAATAAATATTAAAAACTTAAATAAAACCTTTTTCTATGAAAAATAGTTTAATATTAGAATAAATTGTTATTTTCTTTTATGAATCTCTCTCTCTCTCTCTCTCTCTCTCTCTCTCTCTCATCAATTCACGCAATAAATTATATTTTTTCATTGAAATTAATATTTATTTATTTCTTATATTATCGTTTCATTGCCCGAAAATATAATTAATTTTATTTTCAATTTTTTAAACTCATTTCGCTTTTGTGTCTAAATATAGCACTCGTTTGTGTAGTTTCTAATGTGAGAGAAATAAATTGTTATTTATGTATAAATATTATTATTTTTATGTCTCATGTTATGATTGGTTTTCTAGAGTTTTTATGTCTTTCGCGGAATTAACCGATAATTGGTTTGAATATAAATTTTTAGTTTTTTGAAAATTTATNAATTGTTATTTATGTATAAATATTATTATTTTTATGTCTCATGTTATGATTGGTTTTCTAGAGTTTTTATGTCTTTCGCGGAATTAACCGATAATTGGTTTGAATATAAATTTTTAGTTTTTTGAAATTTTATTTTTATCACAATTTTCATTTCATACTTACCGTTGATGTCATCCATCAGTTGATTATGCATTCATTCATAAGGAAATGAAAATTTAATTTCTTGTCTTATGTAATATAAATCTCTCTCTCTCTCTCTCTCTCTCTCTCTCTCATCTTTTCACTCAATCATAAGTCAGTCATTAATATTTTTAGGACATAGAGTACACGTTAAAAATCTTTGTATCACTTTTTGTGTCTCACATTTCCAGTTGTTTTTCTTGTATAAAATACAATTGAATTACAATTTTGTGAATCAAATAAAAAATTTGTCAAATAATTGGTGTGTAATATGTGTTGAGAGATGTTTTTTGGTGAGAGATTTGTGTTTTGAATTTAAGTTCATTGTCTCTTTCCCTACCCTTCCCTCTCAACTGACAATTTCATGTGAAACTACTGTTTTATTTGTATTTTTGATTTTACTTTTGTTTTGGTTTTCAAGTGTGTCCAGTAATTGATGTGAGAAATGTTGTGAAATCAATTCATGTGTACTTATAATGCATTTATACCTTATTTTCCACTATATTTGCTGAATATCTCTGTGTTTTGCCATTTAATTTACTGTTTAATTTATAACCACTTTGTGTGTATTTATTTTAATATTACATTGAAATAGTGTTTAAACGATTAATTTTGTAGAAACTATTTTTTGAATGTAAAACCTGTGTATAATTAAACGAAATTTTTATAAAACGATTAGAAATTTAAGAAATGATTACATGAAAATAATTTAATTTAACAATTTTTACAATTTATTTATGACTTGTGTTCCCAATAATTTTCAACTTAGTTTAAAAACTATTTTTGTTTTGGCTTTGAATTTAATATTTGTAGTAATTTTGATTATAAAAGTTAATTCAAATACGTTTGAAATTAGTGTCGAAATACCTGATGGATGAGACGCTAGATTAGAAACTAATCATTTGGTTTTTTATATCATATTAGTCTGAGATCTCATTTTGCGCCCAATGAAGAGTCCATTCATAGAGTCTCTCTCTCTCTCTCCCTCTCTCTCTCTCTCTCTCCCCTTTCGAGTCGAGTTATTAATCAGTTTTTGGTATTTTTATATCTTCTTAAAAGAGATATTGATATCAAATATCTCTCTGTCTCAAAAAGAGGTCTTATTTAATGAACACATGATCTATCATTTAATTAATATAATATAATATATTAATTTTTAATAATTATAAAATATCTAATCGATTGTCTTATTTGAATGGTTAGGCGCGACCACAGTTATCGGTGATGACCCCCGGATACTAGACGTGAGCAGTTGTAGCATAAGTATCGCCTCATCCATAGCAATGTCACAGACATCGAGTCGACCCCCGTCTGAGGCCAATAACAGAGGTATATTCCCTTAACCTATAACACAATTAACGTATAATTAGTGATATTCTTTGGTTTGCAAACAATTTTTGATATTTTTCGTTGGTTTTGGTGTTTAATATGAAATATTTATTTATCTAACGGTTGCGAGAATTTAATGACAAATAATGTGATGCCAGACATAAGTGACAAACAATTATGTAGTGTTTTGTTTACGATTATAATTGTTGTGGTAATTGTGAGTATGAGTCAGTGGTAGTCGTATTAGTTTATGCTGTTGTTGATTAACAAATCTAACGGTAGTCCCCACTCCATCACCACTTCCCCCCTCTTTCTACTATCCCTGTCCACTAATAGCCTATTGGTTCGCGAGTGCACCCAAACAAGAGGCTGATATAATGGCCATTTCTACCACAGCTACCGGTGCTAACCATAGCCGAGATGAAGACGATGTTAGAGATAACTCTAAGTGTTTGTGCGCTGATATGTGTCCCAACTCTCAGAGGGAACAACACTTATATAACGATAATAAC